ATGTTCATGTTTCCTATAAGGAGCAGTCCTTTTGAAGTATTTGGAAAAAAATGTAGGAAAATCGCCTGTAATGTATTTCTTGCCACTGCTTTTCCTAAATCAAGAAAGCTGGTCAAGGCTCTTGTTAGTACCTGATCAGTGAGAGCATTGGTAAATTGGTTTGGTATCATATCACTGCCTTACGGGGCACATTATTGCATATCACAACTCGTGCTTGTTTTCAGACATTTTATAACAAGCCCCACCCCCCCCCCCCCCCCCCCCTTAAAAGTTCCAAACCTACAGCGAGACACGAACTGATGTCCTACGTGAACAAAAGATTAGTCAGGGGTTTGCTGAGAGTATGTTGAAAAAGTAAACAATCTGACAATTACACAAACGCCTGTTCACTGTTTTGACTATGACACTATATATTTACCTCATCGTAGAAACTCGTCTGCTCGTGTCTGAATGCTTCGGTTCGGTATGGGTCCTTGGGGACACTAACGATGACTCGAGACATTTATTTTCAGTTGCAGTTTTCACACGCTCTTTCGCATCAATTGAAGCTGTTTACACTGACATTTATTACTTATTTCTGAACAAAATCTCTGTCAACAGTCAAGACGGAATAGCTGTAATGCTTCGAATGAAATTTTCAACGTCAAGACCCTAGTGAAGCGTCGCCGTCAGTGTGCTGGGTAATGGTCATAATTGTTCCATCTTGCATGAAGACCTGTTCTGCTAAAGTGATGATGTAAAACTCTGCGTATAGTTTGTTCTATTCAACATGTAAATAAGTGAGTAATAACAATGGAAGCACATACTCTTTCACTTTCAGGCTTCATCAGCAGCAGCTGTCATCAGCTGCGCGATGGTAAACTTCCGGTGTAAACGACTTTCGTTCTTATTTACGGGAGCTCAATATCACATTAAATACGGTTATTTAAATTTAAATAATGGCTGCACTGGATTCTTTTAATTTTTCTTTGACGTTCTTAGTTATTGATAATGATTGTTGATGATACTTTCTAAATTGAAAAGTGGTGTAGTAGGGTTACCGCAAATCATTCTGAATTTTAGCCAACATGCGCAGCCTCCTGCGCAGAGGCACTAAATTTGAGAAGGATCGACCCACCTTAATCAATTTTTTATAAAAAAAAAGTATAACCGGATATGACGCTTTAACAGAATATACTGTAAAATTGGAAAAAAATGATTGCGGTGTGGTTTTTGCGTTAACATAAGTTCATCTCCTCGGATACAAAGACACATATTTGGTTTGTTACGAAGGAAAATCCAATCACTGAAAGTAAAAACATGAAGTGTTTTGTTTTGGAAATAACGACTGTAAACTATAAAAGACAACCGAAGGCGTTAACGTCTGCTAGGTACTTTTGTAACATTTAGGGACGCCGCAAATGGTGTCACTAATATTAAACATGTATTTAACAAAGTTGTGGTATATTTGCAAGCGCTTTCAAAACAATATTGAATAAGAATTTAACTGTGATATACAAAATGTAGTTTACTTACAAATATTTAAATATCTTGCCGAAATTCATATCGAACAAACCGGGTATGAATTAAAACTTGGCGTTAATGTACATACACAACAAATTATTAAATAACCTATCCTTTTTTTAAAGTAAGCAAACATATGGAATAATGCTATACAAATGTATAATGTTTAACCTATTAACACCCAAAAACAACTGTTAATAGGAACAATCAACTCCAACTTGAGTACATATTGATTTTACAATCCGTGTGTTCCATTATCAGGTTGCTACTTACAATTCGATGTATTAAATGGGCAGTTTTCCTTTCAATGTGCTTGTTTATGACGTCGATATAAATGTATATTGAAAACGTCATGATGAATAATTATTTATGACGCAACGTTGTTTGTTTGCAGCAATATTATTGACGACGTCATGTTCATGTCAGTCGACAATAAACACGAGTCGACCCGATAAAGACCTATGGAGGCAGAAAGTCGAAGCGGTCATTCTTTTTATTATTTTCCTCTCAAAAACTTGTTACTTAGATATACTCTACACCATGTTTATGTCCATATGTAAAAAAATCTGCATTGATTTTTTTCTTGATGCTGCATGTATTTGTTGTCGGTTAGTGTAGATACTCAGGTGTATTTATAAATTTTGGCTATCAAATTAGTTGTTCTAGCAAAGACGTTTTTGAACAATCATTAGGCGAGGATTTCGCGAAAGGTTATGGGGACATCACCTATTTGAACAGATCACAAAAACAGATACAGTGCTATCAGTCAATCTATAAAATTATATCACTGAGACGATTGAGACATGATACGACTCCCCCGAAACGCTGTGGTATTGTTTTGTCCTTGCGTGTTTACTCCTTTTCAAGACTTGTACAACTGTGCAACACCTTTAATATCTGGTCATGGAAACGTATTTGTTTTTGTCATTTGAAAAAGAAATTCTTTTGTGGATGTTTTTAGGTAACAAAGTAACTAGTAATTTGTTTTCATGGGTTTCAAACTCATTCAAGTACATTTTCAAACATAAGCAATATCGTGAAAAGATTCCAATCGGCACTTAACTACAAATTCAGAATAAAATTCACATGACAACAAAAGGATATGAAAAGCGGCTGTGATATCAAGTTAACCGGGGAAAACCCGTATCCTTTGACATATCTGCCCTAATGTACTAGTCTAAAACATGAAACATAAGTAACTTGGTTTGGGTTGGTTTGGTTTAGTATTGTTTAACGACCTATCAACAGCTTTGGTCATATAAGGACGGCCTCCTCTGTGTGCAAGATGCATTTGTGTAATGTATGCGTTTGTAATTTGGGAGGCTGCGATATGTTCGTGTCTGTCTCCCTTTGATAGCGCGGAACTGATGCCGACTTTATAGTGCTACCTCACTGAAACATACACCCAGCAGGACGCCCCACCCGGTCACATTATACTGACAACAGTCGAACCAGTCGTCCCACTCCTAATTTGCTGAGCGTTAAGCAGGGGTAGAAACTACCATTTTTAAAGACGTATGTCTCGGCAAGGGGACAGAACCCAAAGCCTTCCTCACAGGGGCGAACGCTCAACAAATGGCCAAAAGTGAGGCATTGTCAAGGGAGACATTAGGAAGAAGAAAGCTATTTAGAAAGAAGAGAACCGATAAGGTCTGAAATTTTGTCGCCTCTTACGATGATGCAATTGGGGGCAGCAGGTGCTAGACATGACATATATTAGGGCAGTTGAAAAGTTGAAATTGTGTTACATCTGAAATGTCCGAACTGTAGTAATGGCACAGATAGTACTTAAATGTGTTGGTGTTAGGTTTGCTCATTTGTCATCAGAAACGACCACAAATATATAACATCATTTTGGATTTGCTACACAGAATGACGGACAAGACAGTTGGCAAGAGATAGAGAGAGAGATACATGACAATATTGTATGAATTTGGCAAATATAATATACACAATATATACATAAGAAATAAAGAAACACAGCTCAAATTTACAAAACAAGAGGCCCAATGGCCCTGCATCGCTTACCTGTTATTAATCTAACCCTTGTAATCTTAAGATTTCATAAGAACCAATTAAAAGATTTAAACATATGACGCCTCTGACCTTGATTGTTGAACAAGGACATTAGGTTGAAAGTGGATCAAGGTCATTCATTTGAACTAACATGGTAGTCCTTCATCCCAGCATGCTACAGGCCCAATATCAGTACCCTGGGCCTTTTGATAATTGAGCAGAAGCCGTTTGAAGATTTTACGACATTAGACCCCTGTGACCTTGAAAGTTGGTCAAGGTCATTCATTTGAACAAACTTGGTAGTCCTTCATCCCAGCATGCTACAGGCCTAATTTCAGACCCCTGGGCCTTTTGGTTATTGAGAAGAAGTTGTTTGAAGATTTTAACATATTTTACCCCTGTGACCTTCAAAGTGGGTCAAGGTCATTTATTTGAACAAACTTAGTAGCCCTTGATCCAAGCATGCTACTGGCCAAATACCATCTTACTAGGCCTTTTGGTTATTGAGAAGTTGTTTTAAGCAAAAAGTTGACGCCGGACAGACGGACGGACGGACGGACGGACGGACGGACGGATGCCGCACCATAACAAACTCACTTGCCCTTTAAGCAGGTGAGCTAAAAAAAACACAATATTTACACTTTCGTTTCGGTTCCGATCAGGGTCCATTTTGGTCACACACAATCTTAACTGTATTGAATTCTCTTTAAATAGTTTATAGTTTCCGTTTCGGTCCGTCTCAGTGATTCGTTGCACCCATTCTTCACGAATACGTCGCATAACGCCATAAATCATTTATTCAGGTTTGTTCAGGTATTTGTTCTGGTTTTCTTCCTGGTTCGTGCGAATTGATGACTTTTCTCTGTTAGAGACAGATCTCTCCGTTTGGGAGACATCTGTTTACAACAAACGACTGTTTATTTCGCAGACGACCAATCACTTTCGGTGACCTATGACCCTTTGCATAGTATCGCTTTAGTAAATTTGTGGAAGAAGGGGCATTTCCGATAAATGCCCCTTAAATAAGTAACCCGGAAGTAAAATAACGTCGTGAAAATTATCTTCGTTTTTGGCACGGCACTTCCTGAATCTATTTCATATAAATTCTGTTTGATTTGAAGCTAGTGTAGACCACAGCTAGGTGCTGGACATGCAACACATATGATATGTGTGTAATAGCAGTAATATACTTTCGTATGAATTTCAAACCAAACTAGCTGATCAACAGTTGGAGTCTAATCTAATTCTGTGGGTAAACACACAAAGGTTTGTAAGATAAGGATTTACATTTCTTTATCATTTAGTTCTCCTTAACAATAAGTAGCATTCCATCGTTACCAAACCTGACTTCAGACCATTAAGATCACTGGGGTCAATACTCGGATGCGAGTAATGTTGACCTAAATATTAACCACCACTTACGTTTATAAACACACCTGGATGATGAATCTCAGGTGAGAAAACGACATATACCAACTTACCTTTCCAAGTCCATTATTTTGTTGTAGAATACTCAGCACAGTTCCCGACCCAGCTCCTTGTCCAGAACAACATTCCAAACCACACAAAACCACTAAAATCACAAAAATACTTCGTCGTGGAGATATGACCGCCGACATTTTAAAATTAAACACACCTGTTTGGGTATCAGGGGCGGTAGCTCTTCTGTTGTTAGGTAGATTGTGACGAATCAATCACCGACATATAAATAGACTGATGACTTGTTAGGTATATGCAGTCATTATCTCGGGTGGAAATGGGTTAAGACGATAGTACGAATCCACAGAGGTTAATTTTATATAGGGGTTGAGCTCAGGTAAGGAATGTGTTACGGGACTATGTATTATTACCACGTTGAATCAACGGGATTTGGGTATTTATTACGACCAATGAGGTTGTGTGAATTGATGCAGTTTAATTTGCTGTTGTTGGTGGAAGAGTTACTGAATTGATCAGACTATATTGAGATTTTCGTTCTTGTTTTTTTTAAGGTTGTTTTTTTCAATGTATTTGGCCTTTTGGAGTGAATCATTTTGGTGCTATTTATTAGAAATTGCAGACCCTAAAATGGGCTGTTTTCTGGTGCGCCCAGCATGACCAGTTTAATCTCCTGCGTGGAGGTGACTTTTCCTCTGATTCTGGACATATACCTCTTCAATCCTGTTATTATTTTTGATTGGTTATGCCTTTTAAAATCTGAATTGATACTTTAACCAAAGACACATATTTACGATGGCCGACATCAACCTGACCAAAAAAAGCGTTTCTTAAACAGAAATGACCAAACTATGTTTTTTGCTATGACAAACAAGAGGCCCAAGAGGGCCTGTATCGCTCACCTGAATATTTAAGCAGTCATAGCAAAATATTCTCATTAAATATTATATTGCACTAAAACTATTTCCCTTGAATACTTTTTTGGCTCCATCTGTTATAACTATCAGCAAAATATTATTAAAAGATTCTATGCTTTTTGATTCTTCTTCAGAAGTTGCTTGACATAATTTTCCCTGTGATCTTGTAAGTAGGTCAATGTGATTTTCCTTCTCAAATTGGTTAGCTCTATTCCAAAAAGCTACCAGCCAAATCTTATGATTCCATTCCTTTAAATTCTCAAGAACAAATCCATTAAAATATTGTTGACCTGTGTGACCTTGAAAGTAGGTCAAGGTCATTTTCATTCGCAAACTTTGTTTGGCTCTGTCCCAGGAAGCCACCTGCCAAATATTAAGATTTTATAACGACCCGTTCTTCAGAAGAAGTCGTTTAAAGTGTTCGACATATCTGCCTCATGTGACCTTAAAAGATATTCAAGGTCATTTTCATTCTCAAACTTTGTTCAGATCTTTCCTAGGAAGCTACAAGCCAAATATTGAGATTATATACCTTTCAGTTCTTCAGAAGAAGTCGTTTGAAGTGTCTGACACATTTGACTCCTGTGACCTTGAAAGAAGGTCAAGGTAATTTTCATTCTCAAACTTTGTCGGGCTCTATCCAAGGAAGCCATTCATCAAAAATAAATATTCTATACCTTTCAGTTCTTCAGAAGAAGTCGTTTGAAGTGTTTGACACATTTGACCCCAGTGTCCTTGAAAGGAGGTCAAGGTCATTTTCATTCTCAAACTTTGTTCAGATCTTTCCTAGGAAGCTACAAGCCAAATATTGAGATTATATTCCTTTCAGTTCTTCAGAAGAAGTCGTTTGAAGTGTTTGACACATTTGACCCCAGTGTCCTTGAAAGGAGGTCAAGGTCATTTTCATTCTCAAACTTTGTTCAGATCTTTCCTAGGAAGCTACAAGCCAAATATTGAGATTATATACCTGTCAGTTCTTCAGAAGAAGTCGTTTGAAGTGTTTGACACATTTGACCCCAGTGTCCTTGAAAGGAGGTCAAGGTCATTTTCATTCTCAAACTTTGTTGAGCTCTATCCCAGGAAGCCATGAGCTAAATATGAAGATTCTGTACCTTTTAGTTCTTTAGTTCTTTAGAAGAAGTCGTTTGAAGTTTTTGACATATTTGACCCCTGTGACCTTGAAATATCAGGACTATAGGCCTGTCCGTTCTTCAGAAGAAGTTGTTTAAAGGAAAAGTTGACGGACGGACGGACGCCGCGCCACGGCATAAGCTCACTTGGCACTTCGTGCCAGGTGAGCTAAAAAGCGTAAGTAAAACAGAAATATGCCCAAACCATGTTTGTTTTATCCATGACAAGAAAGTGTTACTAAAACAGAAAAATGCCATAACTGTGTGAATGACAAAAGTACATACAGTTACGATATAGTATCCATATTTACCTTATACGTATGCCAATTACACAGTACAACTGCATAACATAAATACTATAATCAATTACAACCGTAACAAAACAATAGTTTTCGTTTTGTTTATATATTAAGTTTGTTTTTGGGTTTGTTTCTTTCCTTTTCTTAAAGAACTTTATTGCAGGTCAAGAATCAAGATCAAAACCGATGGGTCCAATCCAATATTATTCCCAATACCTGACCAACAGCTGACATTATCTGACCTCCGTAAGTTGGTTAAGTAGATAATCATATGACAGAATCGTGTATCTTTAACATGTATGAATTTATAAGATGTACATGTATGTACAGCCATAATGCCTGGTGCTGTTCTATTTTAGGACAGGTTACATTGTTACTAATATACAGAATAGTTGCACCATGATGAACATATGTATACTTTATGATATACTATACATGTTAGATTGTTTGTGTCTTGTGGGATCTACATGGAAAGGTACAGCACGGTAATTTGACAGGGATCAATTAGTCTAACTTAACCGAACCATATGTTTATCCGAGTTGCATTTTCTCTGGTACGTTTACTGTAAGCAGTACATGTCTGAAGTGTCTTAGCTTACGAGATTATCATTAACAGTTTGCCACTTTGTCGTCTGTATAAACTGTACCATTGACGAATATTGACGGTTCGATATTGTGTAATGCCATTTGCATCACATACCTGCTTATAAAGTCATAAATTCACGATTTGATATAATATTTGTTCAAATAAAGCATCAACTTCGATATTCCATGGGTTACGTTCACGTTTGCTCTCTGCACCCCTGGATTTTCTTCAAAGGACATGTAGCGATTGTTAAGTTTTTTTTACCGAGGACCAATCAAATAGCTAGTTAACTTCCTTCAATTTTGCTATGATATATCCAAGGGGTACAGAGAGCGAAAGTGAGCGTAAACCCTGGAATATCCAGGATGATGAACCATATATAACTAAGCATATACATAGAGTGTTTGAACTTTGTATAAGAAGTCACAGAAGGACAATAGTTTGCAGTGTATATTTGATTAACAACTTTAGATGCATCTTTCTGTTGTAATTCTTTAGATAGCGCATTTCCAAGAGCTAAAAAGCCCTTCGTTATCGTGATGGGCCCAGAGAACATTTCCATCATGTGTTATGCAGAATAAACACAGTTATCATCGAAACAGATACTTCAACTAGCACGTTTAACTTTGTCACTTGGCTTACTCTTTTGCATAGGCGTAATGACAAGAGATCCCAGTGGGATCTTGGCGTTTGTACCATCTTCATTAGTTCTTTGTCAGTTCGATCTTTTCTCTTCTTTCCTCTAATCTGTTTGATCGAGTCATGTTAACAGTAAATGCACCTTGAGGTAACTTTTGATCTAAACTTAATACTGATGTGTGTGAAAGCCAACCTTCAAAGTGAGTTTGTCATTTCACCAATTGCTACCAATGTGTGCTTTGTATGCTGCGTACTAAGTAGCCATTCACAAAATGATAGGAACATCAATGCAGACTTTGCAACGGAATGCTAGTACCTGTTTCCTGTCTTCATTCGAAATAAAAATATATGCAGTTGAAACCAGGAGGATTCACATTCCGTTTCTCTATGAGGCACTGATGTTCCCCTTTATGGAACTGCTGACAACTGGAACACGTGTGGTCATCACATGTGTGCGAATCTGGAGACACATTTTCTCTCACAAATTCGAGACATTTCCAGTAGCGTTTACAATATGACTTACCGATACGTTTGTTGAACCTATTGAATGGCTTTACCTTGTGCAATTGGAAACATTCAGAATTTCTGCAGAGCACACCACAAGTAGTGTTACCCTGGTCGGTATTGCAGTTTTGTCTTAAACAAATACTACATTTTTCTGCAACATATTTTGTGACGCGGCTGAAGACATTCCATACAGAAATACTTGCGGCCGTTAAATCCCTGAATGTTTACAATTGCATGAAAGTGCGAGCTCCTTTTCAATAAGAACTTGCGCTGTTTATTGAATAAGCCTGTATATTCAATTACGCCAATACGTTCACCTGACACTATGCCAGCTTGGACATCCGAGAAACGTTTAAATTTCATAACGTAAATCACAGAATGCTTCCATTCCAACACCAGCCCCTTTGTGCAATGCAATAGCCTCAGATTTGAGTCGCGTGTTCGTGCAGTCACGGATACGTATTTCAGTCTTATTTTATCTTTAGATTTTTTTAGTCAATTTTAGCATATTCGTGACAGACCCAAATTGCACGGGCACAGCAAAGGTGATCGTTTTCATTTTTGATTTCAAAGATACTATGCTTTCTTTTAATGTCATATTTTAGATTGCCTGTCAAATGGCCACCCGTAAGAATGATCACAGTACCAATATGAATAGTAAAGGATTTCTCTAATATCAAGTGTTGTTTGCTTTGTAGCACTTTCATAATTTCGGCTAGAATAACCTCAGGGGTTATATCTTTTAGTTCCCGAATATGAATAAGAATTGGAGATATTCCAACCCATCCTGGTTTATATATATATTCAACCTCTATCGTCGGAATGCAATCCATCAGAGGCTAGCGATATCGCTTATGCGAACACATCGTATAAACGACAGCATCTAACTCATTCATTACTCTCATCAGCACCCCGTCATACTTGTCATCATCAGTATCCATCTTAAACATAAAATATAAAAGAAAGTTATAAAGAGTCTTCAAACAAATTGAATATTTTTTTCTAAAAATAAAATAACATTGCACATAACATATTGAATCAAGCATTAAAGGAATCATTTTACACAACCAAAAGCAAAATTACAAAAGTGTTGATATAAATTAAAAATATT